CGTGCGTGGCAGATGTTGGATTTTCTAATTGCAAAGGTGTCTCTTCTCGTTAGCGATTACATTCCTAAGGAGGGTGAGGGATCCCGCATAGTGGTGTATTTTCTGCAACAACGTGTATAGAAGTGATTCACTTTGGTAGATTTTTTTTTTCCCCAGATGTCTCTAATTGCTCTGCTGGTTTTATTTTGTCTGAGACTTTTTAAATTTCATAACGCTGCTGAGTGTGTCCAGGTCGCACTGGTATGGGAGGGCAGAGAAAAAAATCTCAACTTCAGAGCTGTAGAAGAACCGCACACCTTTGGTGACCGTTACCCCGGCTAATTTAAGCCTCACCAGACCTGCCCAGGCAGCCTGAGCAGCCTGTACCGTTGGTTCTGCATCTCGTTCGGTTTCCGCATAAGAGGGCGTCTGGCAAACTACTGCTTTTTTGTGGTCAGCGGGGTGAAGCTGGGTGCACTCAATTGAAACATCCCAATCTGGGCACCCTCTGCTCTTCCTCCCTGGCCAGCGGGGCAGTGAAAGGTGCCACTGCACTTCGCAGCCGTTACCAGCACAGGGGGTGGATTGGGATGCTTTGGTGGGGCTGCTTTGGAGTGCTCTTGGGCATCCTTTGTGCCTTCCTTTCCTGCCCTGGGGTCCCACATCCCCCAGGAGCAGCCAAAAGGCTCATGGAGCAGACAATTACGGGGCTGGAAGCATGATACAGGTCAGAGGCGGGCACCTGCTCGGTTGTGCATCTCTGCTGGGACACAGGCGTGGTGTAAACCGCCCCTTTTTGCCACTCCTGACCTGTAGGAGGTTGTGGGAGACTTCACAGAACTGGGCACGTACACGTCCCTGTCTATATACACCTACAGTAGAGATACATGTGTACAGCTCCTGCAGTGATTTGGGAGTGAACGTCCCTGGGGCCTTGCTCGCCCCGGCTGTGGGCAGAAAGTGAGAGCGAGCTGGGGAGAAGTGAAAGCCACGAGCGTTTCCATCGTCCAAGCACAGATGACAGCAAACCACAAGGAGTGAAAGTGGACCAGGTCAGCAGAAATCACGTTATTCAAATGAAGGTGAGGCTCACACCCTGTGGGATGCTCGCTTTAAAGACGGAAGCTTTAGGGACCTTAGCACCAGCCCAACACAACTGTTTACTTGTGAGCTGGGGAGCCCGCGTGTCCGGGTGTTTTCCGCTGAAGGAAAACTGTGTTCGTTCCTCCAGAGAGTCATCGAGTGAGCCTCGCTGAGACACCTCGTTATCAGTTATTTATTCCTGCAAAATATTCTTGTGCTTTCTGCCGAAGTTAATTCTCACAGGAAAGCCGTTAAGAATATGTGAAGTGTTACAATTAGTGGCTATTTCTGTGTGGCTTGTGAGCAGCATCCCTGCAGAAGAGCGGAGGCAGATTTGGTGCTGGAGTGGCTGTGAGCCCTGGCTCGGCTCTTGGCAGAGATGTCAGCCTGTTCCCACCTTGCAGGGGGAGAAGGTGCTTCCATGAAACCCCTCTCTCAAGCTGCAGGGATGCTCGTGGTCCCTACGGCGTGGCTGTGACCTGAGGTCTTTCTCTGTCTTGTTCAAAAGGATGCCGACTCCTCCGAGCGGGTCCTCATGGACATGCGCTGGGGCCTGGTTCCCTCCTGGTTCAAAAAGGACGACCCCTCCAAAATGCCGTTTAACACCTCCAACTGCCGCAGCGATACCATGCTGAAGAAGTCCTCCTACAAGGTGAGTTGCTGCTCTTTTTGTGGCCAGCTTGAAGAGATCTTGGCAAAACCAGAGCTGAAGATGGCGAGTACCAGTCACCTTTTGCCTGCTGCACAGGGGATCCTCCTAAATGGGTCCTTGTACTGCAGAGCTGGCAGGTTTCTTTAAAACAGAAGAACCGATGAGTTTCTTCCTTGTGAAGCTCATCTTTCATCACAGCGCTGGGTGGTGGTATTTGTGCACCCGTGGGGCAGCGCAGGGAGGGAACGAGCAGGCTGGGTGCTCCCAGCAGCCCCTGTCCTCCTGAGGCTGCCGTTCACAGCTCACTTGTGTTTTCTCTTCCCCAGGGCGCTCTCCTCAAGGGCAAACGCTGCGTGGTCCTTGCTGATGGCTTCTACGAGTGGCAGCAGCAGAGTGGGGGAAAGCAGCCCTATTTCATTTACTTCCCTCAGAGCAAGGACACTGTGGTATGAAGTCCCTCTCCGTGTCTGAACGCTCATGTCCAGCTCTGAGCCTCTGCTCCCTCCCCCTTCCCTCCGTCTGTGTCCATCTCTGGGTGTCTCTGTTCCCCAATGGGGCTCCATCCCGTGGTGGGCTCGGCACCCCAGGGTCCCTGTGCAGCCGGTGGTTCTGGCCACCGTGGTCCCCTGGCTGTAAACGGTGCCACAGCGTCCCCGCTGTCACGCTTGGTGCTCCCCACACGCCGGATATTTGCATGGCTGGGCGATGTGTCTCACAGGGGACTGGGCCGGGAGTTTCACTACCTCTTTGCTTCAGCTGAGTCAGCGACTGGGGTGTTCAGAAGGGGACGAGGGCGCTGGCTTGCCTATGGGAAGATGAGGCTCCTGTTACCTCTCCTGGGCTTACCTCAAATCAGTATTAGCCCTCAAATCAGTGCAGTTCATGACTCAAATCCGAGTCGTTGACCTGCGTGGCACTGACAAGCCTGTGATGCTTCAGCTGTTCTGCATTGACCAGGCAATGGGGGCTTCTCTCCTGCAGACAGAGGAGAAGGAGAAAGATGAGGAATGGAGAGGCTGGAGGTTGCTCACCATGGCTGGGATTTTCGACTGCTGGGAGCCACCAGCGGGCGGAGAAACGCTGTACACTTACACCATCATTACCGTGGATGCCTCCAAGGACGTGAGCTTCATCCATCACAGGCAAGGGAGAGCGGGTTGGGGGTGCTGCAGGGCGGTGGGGGGGCGAGGGAGGAAAGCTGTGCCTTTAAACGCTCGTCTGGCAGCATGCAGGTGGGGAGCCCTGCCTCCTCCTGATGCCCTGGCAGACAAGCACTACATTACCGGCTCGTTTTGGGTGACTGGCTCTCGCCCTTTCCATAAATCACCATCTTTGTGCCCCGATGGGTGTCAGTTGGAGTTGGATTGCTCTCCACCCCACCAGGGCCTGGCAGTTAACACCTCCGCCTCTGCCCACGAAGCAGTGACCTGGGCAAAGCGAATGCATGCTCTGCCTTGCAGTTTTGTCCATTTCCCCCTGAGCTCCTTGCTGGCTTACAGGCTTGGCTTTTGCCTCCGCTGGGCTTTGTCTCTGACTGTCTTGTCCCCTAGGATGCCAGCCATCCTGGACGGGGACGAGGCCATCAGGAAATGGCTGGACTTCGCTGAAGTGCCCACCCTAGAGGCGGTCAAACTCATCCAGCCCACGGAGAACGTTGTTTTCCACCCGGTGTCCACTTTTGTCAACAGCATCCGCAACAACACGCCCGAGTGTCTCGCAGCCATAGAGCTGGGAGCCAAGAAGGTGAGTGCTGGTGAGGGCTTGGCAGGGAAGAGCTTGGCCGTGGTGACGTCCCTGAGCAGGGATGGCGCTGCCAGGCTGCGGGAGAGGGGGCGGCAGGCAGTGTCTGTGGGCCATGCCTGTGCTTGATGCTGGAGCGCAGAGCCCCGAACAGATTCCCTTCCCTCTGCTTCCAGAAATAAACCATCACCCTGTGCCAGGGTTTGTGTGCCAAATGAGGCAAATTCTATGTGAAATGGGGCTTGGAAGAAGCCTGTTCGCAGCAGCCTGGGGAACTTCCCGCAGATGTGCCTGATTGCAGGCAGGGCTGCTGCTCCAGCCTCCACATCCCACTCTGGACCAGTGCCCTGCTCTCGCCGTGCTTCTGACTTCTCTCCCGCTGTGTTTTGTCTCTCCAGGAGGTCAAAGCCACCCCGAGCAGCAAAATGATGCTGGGCTGGTTAAAGAGCTCCCAGGAGGGCTCTCCCCAGAAGAAAGAAAATGATTTGCCCAGGTGGGCAAGTCAGTTCATTCCCAACCCTTCGCCCAAGAAAACCAGCGCGGGTATCCTGCAGCAGTGGCTGGGGAAGGAGGGAGAGCCAGCTGCAAAGAAGCACAAGGCTTAGGCACCCTACAGGATGGCCAGCCGTCCTCCTCCCTCCTGATTTTCCTAAGCTGAATAAGGAACAATTTTTGGAAGGCTTTGCAGATGGCTGGTTTTCTTCAAGCCTCTCAGGTGTTGGTTTGATGTTCTAGGTTGTTGTCTCTGTTTTTCATGTTTTGTTAAAGGTTGGTGTTTGTCTTTAAAAGTTTTGGCTTTGTCTCGTGCTGGCGGGAGTGGATGTAACCTGTTGGCCTCCCTCCCTGGCAGTCACTCGTGCCAAGCGCAGATAAAGCCTTGAGAAGCGTCCCAGCCTGCTGGGGAGCAGTAGCTTCTGCCTTCTGACAGCGTTCACAGCTCACGTCTCCTGTTTTCTTTTCCCCTTTTTTTTCTTTTGGTATTAAACTGTTACCTCTTTTCCATTTAATTCTGTACTGATTCTGTACAAATTCCTTCTGAATACTCTCACCCTCAAAAGATGGCTGCAGCACAGAGGAATATGAAATAATACCAGGAGGAAACCCCAGGCTCAGGAAGCTCTGCCAGCGTCATCCAGCTGTGCACCAGCATTGCCACATGCATTTGGGGCTCTGAAACGGGGAAATATTAAGCGGTGCCTGGGAGGAGCTGGACTTTGGTTGGGTTTCCCTGCGGGCAGTGGGGTGGACCAACATGTCTTTGTCACGTTGTTTGTACAATCATTTTGTTAATGGGATTTGAAGACTTAGAGAGGATTTCCTTGATCTGTGGAGGGATGCACTCTGACTTGTTCATAAAGGTCATTCATTAAAGCCCAGATAACCAAAGTGCTGTTACAGAACAGCCTAGGGCAGTTGTTTTTGAGGTCAGGGATTTTGTAAACAGACAGATGTTATGGACCAAAAGCCTTACACAGCACCCTTGCTGCAAAGCAGTACTTTGATTTGTTTTGGAAAAAATAAAATGGGATTAACTGGTTGACTACGCAGTGCCCTTGTCCCTGTGCTCGTCCGTGTCCCCCTTGCCCACCGCAGCCCCGTTGCTCATGTTTCGCAGGCAGAGCTCGTGTCTCCTCTCCATCTGCTGAGGGTGAGTCCAGCTCCCTGCTGCTGAGCTCTCAGGGTCTTGGCAGGGCCGTGTTGCTGGAGCATTTCCATTTGCCAGTGGAAAATACTCCCTGGGAATTTATTTTGGGGCTCCTCTCGAATGATCTGTCCCTGGGAAGCTGCAGGGGTGGCTGTAGCTGGGGCTCATCCCTGGGGAGGAACAGTGGAGCCAGGACAGGAGCCCCAGGATGGGCACCCAGGGACACCTGAGCGCTGTTGGAGCCAAATCCATCTCTGAATCGCTCAGGTGCCACAGAGGTGACTAAAGCTCAGAAGGTCTCCTGGCTTACGGGAAGCTGGGGTGGGATTAGGATTTCCAGCTAGAAAGCCTGTTGCTGGCTGGTGCCTCATCGTTCCCACAGTGACCTGAGGCAAGAGGGTCACTGCTCAGCAGCTCCTGGCAGAATAAGCAGGTCCTGAGGCACTGGGGCTGTCACTTCGGTGCCTGTCCTTGCAGGAGCCATGAGGGAGGTTTCTGTCCCTGCCCAGCCACCACCCTTCAGGGTGAGCAGCTCGGCTGCCCTGGCCTGGTTGATGCTAGCTACAGATCAGGCTTTTCCAAAGGTCACCGGCTCATCTCAAATTCACTTCAGGTCTTCAGTTACTGTGGAGGGAGTGAAGATGCTGAGCATGAGTGGGGGATGCTCACCTTTCCCTGCTCTGGGGAACATAATCCTTCCCTTGGGGAGGCAGGGAAGATGCAAAGATGCAGGGTACAGATTATCTCCCTTCCAGGCTCTGAGCACCAGCAGCACAGAATAAAACTCCAACCCTGTACTGAGGAGGTGTTATTGCTGACCACCACCTCCTTTAAACTGGAGCCTGGCTGCTTACCCAACGCTGTTTGCTGTAGTTGCTCCTACCTGGCGAAGATATGACTGCATTTAACCCGGTGTGACCTGGCCTCAAAAGCCGGGTTGGGAGCAACTTTCCCCTTTGATGCACGATGCTCCGGCAGAGAGGGCAGCAGCCGCTGTGGATGTAGGGGGGCTGCTTTGAGGGGGAAGGAACACCCCGATGCGGGAGGAAACCCTACATTGGGGGGTTCCCTCCTCCTGGAGCATCCCCTTGCCCGCAGGCCCTGACACCCTCCCAAGAGAGGCATCCCGCTGTCCGAGGAGGTGGTTACAGGTTTGGGCAAGGCAAAAGGGGCAGGCG